TTATAATCATTTTTAGGCTGTATCTTTTGAATAATCTGCTAATTCTCTTACAGCCAAAATGCTGTGAAACCATTTGGTGAGAATCATCTACTTCTAAGGAAAAGGGATTTAAAAAAAAATCTTATGTGGTGATTTTATGAATAATGAGATAGGCCAGGAGCTACAGATTAAAGGTGAAATGTCTCGGTCAAAATTAGGTGTTTGGAGGCCATCCCTGTATAGATATTAGTAGTTTGCAAATAAGAAACATTTTATATTTCAGATCTCCCTTTTAATTTGGTGTTTGGAACACAGGGTGCAGTAGAAACAGCATTAGTCTAGTTTAGTGCGGTTCTCAAATTGATCTGTAAAATGCCCTATTTAATTCAAAATACAGGTGAAGGTCTAAAGAGTATGAATGGGTCTAGGGGACATTCCCTTAGAGCTCCAGTCTGCAGTGCCAGGCCTGGGAAGTCAGAAAAAGCAGTGACATCACTACTGGGGGTGAGCGGGTCTGCCTTTCTGTGCCTCAGTCTCCTTATTCGAATAGAAGACTTCTAGCTCTACAGCCCCACGGGGAACTCAAAAGTTTAGAATGTGAACTAATGCCCCTTCACCCACTTGAAGAGCTGAAGACTAGCCTTCCTCTCCCTCGTGCTGGGCGGGACCTGGGGCTTCCTCAGCTCCCGGCCGAGGCTCCCTGGCTGGGAAGGGAGCCCTACAGGGTGTGGACTGGGAGAAGGGCGTGGGAGTAGGACCAGAGAACGTCAGGCCTGCATAGCTGTAAGGGCTGGAAAGCGCTGCTGGTCTCGGGCCAATTCCTGCTCATTTCTCCTTTTCTTCTGCTGACCCTGCTGTACTGGCTTCCGGTTAGAAGACTCGTGTCCTTCCCTCCTTTCCCATCTCCCTTTCCACAGCTCGTCAAGGCACCACTTATTCGGTCCTCGAGACTGGGTAAGAATGTGGCCACTTTGATATGGAGGTGATAACCCGGCAAGGTGATTTCACCTCATCCTCAGAGGGTTCTTTGAGGGTTAACAGAGTAAGGCCCCTGACGGTCTAGCACAGGGTCTGACAAAGACTCCAACTCCACAGAGGGCATGAGATCTAGGCACCAGCACTGCCATTATTTGATCTTAGTCAAACTTCAACTGGGATGGCTCAGGACCGTCACTGGGGTCTGGGGCAGGGTGACCAAGATCGGGGTGCCCATCGTGATCTGTAGCAGCTGTCAGCTGCAAATCTTGGAATGAGGGAAGTACAGGAAAAAATGTAAGGGACCCACCAGGGAAGTACGGAGAGCGCGTGGCTGGCCACACAGCTGTTTGTACGTAAGGAGAGGCACAGACTGGGTATGACCTACCATAACGCTCCGCTCACTAAGGGCAGCATTTTGTTACTTCGTGTGTGAGCTCACAACCCCCAAATCTGGAATAGATCAGACAAGGGCCAGCAAAACTGGAAGGAAAAAATGAGCTCGCTCTCTACCAAAGTTACAAGCTTAGATTTTCCCCAGGACTTCAGGCAGCACTTGACTCTTACTTGTCATGAGGCCTTGGTAAATTTGTAAGCATAAATTTATAAGCAGCAAATTCTAATCGGTATGGCTATTTAAGGGAAGTGTGATAGCTGACAATCTAAAGGAAACAAAAAGAATAGATACAGAATTGTATCACTTCATAGAATAATAATGGGTACTCCTAATAATAAAGAGAAGTTTCACCCTCTGTATCAGAGGATAGGGAACCAAGTGGTAACACATTTTAGGAAGACAATCATAATAATGCCCTATAAAGTTCTTGTTTCACTACAAATGTCTAGAAACTTCCTTTTTCTGGAAAGTTTAACTTGTCTGGATAGCACTGCCACCCATCACACTAGATGAATGAGGCACGAAGACTTCTCTGCCAATTTAGTTAAGTCTTACTTCCTGTGTTTATATCAATACTAATATCTGATGGTTTCTTATCCATAATAATTCCTTCCCTACATTAAAAAAATCTTGTTCATGATGCTGCCTTAGGGACTTGTTCTCAGAGGTATGGCTGCCTTTTCTTTTTCAATCAGGTATATCATTAATACAATCACTAATTCTGGGGGCATATGAACTTCTTTCACTAATGAAGAACACAAAAGCTGTACCTACAATGAATCACTATTTAATTTTTTATTAAAATATAACTATGACGTTTTAGCATCCAATTAGCACATGATCTTGATGCTTAACATCATTAGCCATTAGGGAAATGCAAATCAAAACTATAATGGGATTTTATTTCACTTGCATTAGAATGGCTATAATAATTTTTTAAAAAAACAGACAATAACAAGGGTTGGTGAAGACATGGAGGACTTGGAATGGTCACACACTGCTACTGGGAATATAAGTCAGTACAGTTACTTTGTAAAACCATTATGCAATATCTTAAAATTTTAAATATAAATTCATCATATGACTCAGAAACTCTAGCTGTAGATATATACCCCAAAGCAATGAAAATAGATCTGCATAGAGACTTGCATATGAATGTTCATAGCAGCATTATTCCGAATAACCAAAAAGTGGAAACAACCCAAGTGGTAATCAGCTGAAGAATGGATAAGCAAAATGTGATGTGACCATACAGTGGAGTGTCATTTACAAAGAGGAATGAAGCATTGATACATGCTACAACACGGATGATCTCAAACCAAGTGAAAGAAGTCAAACATATATGAACACACATGGTATGGTTCTATTTATATAAAACGTCTAGAAGAAGTAAGCCTATGGACATAGGAAGTAGCTTAATGATTGCCTGGGGCTGGAGACAGACCCAGGGAATGACTGCAAAGGGGCCTGGGATATTTCTGGAGTGATGGGAATGTCCTAAAATCAGATCATGGGGATGGTCACACAATGCTGTAAATTTACTAAATCATTAAATTGAATGAATTTTGTAATGAATAAGGTATGCCCATTTTACAGATGCGAAATGTGAGGGTCTGAGATGTTCCGTAATTGACCTTCGTAAGGAAGTTATTAAATGGCAGAGCCCAGAGTCAAGAACAGGAAATGTCCACACTCCAAGGCACACTGATTCTGACATACCATCGGGCATTAATTAGTAGCCCCCGCATGAAAACTTCTGTTCAATCAGCTGAGTTCAGCAGTTGGCACAAGAGAAAATCTTGGAACAACAATTTTTGGCTACTTTGTCTGAGTGAAGGACTCATTCAGTTTGACTAGCTTGGATTTAACTTGACAACATGCTGAGTCACTAAGATTATTACCCCTACAGGAGGATTAATCCGTTCCCTGACTCAGCAAATATTTCCTGACTAACTGCTCAAGCCAGGCACAGTTCTGGGCTCTAGAAACACAAAGTGGAATGCTGTGAATGCATGATACGGAGACGTCAGTGGGTTTCTGGTATCCTTACGCTGACCTTGCAGTACGCACGCCAATGTGGAAGGCTAGCACGGCAACGACTGCCAATTCTAAAATCACGCATAGATGTTTAGGGGGAGGTATCACCGAAGTATAGCTCCTTCACATTAAAAATATAAACCGAAGACATGATTTGTTATTCAAGAAACCAGTATGAAATAATTCCATATATCTGAAAGTGTCAACTTACAGGTTGAGAAGGGAGAGAAATAATACATAAAAGTTAAGCAATACATGATATTCCCTCATGGGGGAGACTAGACTGCAGATCAGCGTAATTGCACTAGATCATGTGAGCGCTAGACTGCAGTGCTTGCAAACACAGGTCTACCGCATCAGGACCAGTTTTCTAAAATAGAGTAGGTTAAAAGTAAAATATTTCTTAGAGACAGAAAGTATAGCCCCCAAACTGAAGGGAGCACGTGACTGATGTGACGTCAGCAAAATAAAAAAGACCCCAAATCAGAGAGTAGCGTGAAGAACCACATCCTGTTTATGTGGAATGTCCAGAATAGGCAAATCTGTTGAGACAGAAAGTAGATTAATGGTTGCCTAGGGCTGCCTAGGGGAAATGGAGAAGATGTGGGCAGTTGTTAGTGGGCTGGGTTTCTCTATGGAGTGATAAAAATGTTCAAAATTGACTGTGCTGACGGTTGCACAACTCTGTGAACAGACTCAAATCCACTGAATTTTTTTAAAAAATTTAAATGGGTGAACTGTATGGTATGTGAATTATATCTGTGTGTGCTATATGTGAATGATATAGCTCTTAAAAAACAGGGACTAAGGGATATCTGAACTGCATTGAAATATGTGGACCTTATTGGATTCTGATTCAAATAAATAAGCTGCAAAAAGCAAAATAAAACATATTTATGAGACAGCTGGAAAAAAATCAGGAATGAATAAGAGTGTTTAAAATATATTTTGAGTCATTCACTGGCTTTATTGATAAAATTCCTATAAAGTGGTTCACTTTATATCGTAACCACACTGAGATTAAAATCTTAAATATCAATAAAAATATATTGAAATCTATAAAATTCTCACATGCAAACATTCAATTTTTAATGTGGACACAGATTTAAAAAGTAATGAGCTTTTCTTTCTGAGAATGTTCACTAGATGGCTATACTCTTAATGTCCGGAATATTACATTTTTGATGGATATGTGGTAGGTATATTTCACAGCTTTTAATTTTCTACTTACAGATGTGTTCAAACTGTAAATTATTTTGAGTATTGTATTAATGAAAAAAGAGTACAGATTTTAGCCAGTAGATAAAAATAAGAGATGGACATTTATTTTAAGCATTTTAGAATACATTAGTCAACAGATGCTCATCTGATTTTGTTCTCCAAAGAGAGAAACTATAACTGAATTACCATTCCTTATTAGGACTCATGAAAGGAAATGCCGACCTACAAGAAAGAACCTGTCAAAAGACAGCAGTAAAATGCTTTCTTTTCTTCTTCTTAAAATTTTAACCTTGTATTTATAGATTTTCAAGGACAATTTCTTAATAGTTAGAAACAAAACAACAGAATATTTTTACTTCCATCGTTCAAGCAGAAACAAAGTCTCTCTTACCATCCTGTTGATCCGTACAAAATCCTCAGGTTTTTTTGACCAAGGGGGAAGATCGACATCATTTACCACCACTTCGTCTTCCCTGACTCCGAGATTATATCCATTACTGTTGACAAACATCTCTGGTAGGTAATAGAACTCTGGAATTAGTTCCTGCCAATGAAAATGTAGCATTATAAATCACTTTGAAAATCAGTTGAATAAAATTATTGTAATGTGCTACCTCTAAACTGAATTAAACAATTTCTTTACTTAAATCTAACATTTTACTACTTAATTCTATACACTGAATTTTCTTTAGATAAGCATCTAGGAAGAAAAAAACCATTTTTCTTGACAATTTGTTTATAAGACTTTCAATCTTACCTTACCGTAGATTAGTTAAGAGAAATGGGTTACGGAATCAACAACAGTTCACAAAACATGAGTAAACAAACATGTAAAAAGCTGTGTCTGCACGTCTGTGCTACTCAACAGCCTCTTCTGAAATGTTAAGGAAATTTCCAAATTATAAAAAAGTTGCCAGTATTGGTTAGAAATCATGTAGCATCTTCTACTTGTCTTTTTCACTACGCTGGCAATTACAAGACATGATTTTTACAAAGAGATTCATCGTTTTATTTTGTAATTTGGCAAAATAAGTTTTTCTTATTCCTATCACTTAGCCCAATGAAGAGATGCTATGCACCGTGACAGCATGTTTTAGATATTTAATTCTTGCTACCTGGATGGTAAGTTCTTAATAAACTGGATGCAAAGAGTTTGTGTTACGTGCATGCAAATATGGCATAAATAACTTGGTTCAAGGCAAACTTGTGTTTGATACATGATGTTTAACATGAGGTTTATATTACTTTAGGATAAATCTGATAGAGAAATAAGAGAACTGATTTTAGGATCCTGAAAGTGTTTATTGTTGTCCTTTTTAAACAAAGTAACTTGGAGAAAATGAAAAAAAAAAGGTCTTTTCAAATAACAAGATGAGGGTTAATTTTAAACTATATTGTGAAAAGCATAAGGACATTTATTTGTGTAACACGATCAACATTGACCTCATAGTACCTGCAATGCAGATCTCACTGTGGTTTTCTCTAGGGATACACAGAAAAATTTAAAAAAGACCATCAGACACCGAGGTCTTCAAATAAATAAAATTCCTAAATTTCCAAGAAAAGCATACACTGATGCTGTGTCTTGATGGGCTCTCCTGCGAAAGCCAACATTTATCTGTTATAGCATAAGCGGGGTGTTTATCTGAGTAGTGCTCTGTGAAAATGTGATCATTGTTCATTCTTATGATGATAAATGTGAACCATAAAAAAATATAACGAAGTTTGAGCAGCAGGCACTGTGAAAACAAAAACTGAACAAGGCAAAGCCTTCCTTCAAGTAATTCACAGTCTGGTCCACAGGGTAGATGTATAAGCGGGTGGTCCTAATACACAACAGTAACAGCTGTGAAAGGAGTGCAAAGTGCAAGGAGCAGAGGACCCCGGGACAGTCAAGGAAGACTTCCCTGGAGATGGGACATTTGAGTTTGGCCGTGGCTGAGATAAAGCTGGCAGAAAAGGGCCAGGGCCCACCGGGGAGCATTACCCAGCAGCGGTATGGACTGAGCATGTGGGGTGGGGTACACGATACACTGGAGGTGGCACGTCCAGACGCGGGGATGAGACGGCAAGAGGTGCCTGGGAGCCAGATATGAAGGAAGGTTTAGGATAAACTAGGCTGTTTGGATTTTGTGTTATTGGGTGCATTTGTTTTACAACAAGATGTTTTTAGAGACCTGTTATGACAGGAGCAATTGAGAAGGGGCTGGAAGAAAAACTCACGGGTAAACAAATGTCCTTACTTTCAAATAATGACACAGCTTATTTGGTGGACATACAGGGGCCAGAGTGCTTCTGCCGTACTCTATCAGCAATGACAATGAGCTTGACTTCCAGGCTAGGTGAGCATGAGGCAGGTACAGCAGGTATCCTAGTGCACTGAAGGAGCGATTTGGTAAAGGTGTGTGATCACCGATTACAAGGTGGAAGCAGAACGTGTTTGCTGTTCCCATGTATTTGTATGTAATTGGAAATGTGTGACTGTTACAGTCTGAACATTTCTGTTCCCCTAAGATACGAATGATGAAACTCTATTCCCTGTGATGGTATTTGGAGGTGGGCTGTTTGGAAGGTAGTTGGGGTTAGAGGAGGCCATGAGGAGGTTCCAAGAGAGCGTGCTGCTCCTTTCTGCCACGGGAGGACACAGCATGTGAGGACAACGGCCACCCATGAACACCAAGCCGGCTCTCACCAGACGCAGACCTGACCTCGCAGGAGCCTTCACCTCGGACGTCTGGCCTCTAGAACTGTGAGCAATGAATTTCTGTTGTTTATAGGCCCCCCAGTTTATGGTAAAATACAGCAGCTAGAGCTGTATTTTTACAGCTTGTATAATTACAAGACGGTAATTATTAATTTATTATTTCAATGCATTAAGATATCTGTTTGGGAAAATATGGACAAGCAGTAAGGGATGTCGAGAAGGCGGAGAATACGGCTATTTGCACATTTTTCATCCTATATGTGATGCTGAATAGCAATAGATTGCAAATGGGCCAAAAGGGGAGAGGAATGTGAGCTCACGCAGCTGCTCTTTGTGGAGGATGATTTATGTGTAATAGACTCCTGGAAGTCAGGATTTCCCTTCCTACCTTTCAGCAGTTATTTGTGTTCATGTCCTATCTCTATAACTAGACTATATAAGCTTCCTGGAGGACAGAGATATATATTCACATGAATATAGCAACTTGGATTTATTTTTTATTTAAACAGCCCAAAGAGTCTCAATTTATCTTCAGCTGCTTTGCTGCTCTATAAAGTTTTTCAGATATATTATTTTCCACTCTTTCCTGTGCTATAAGTCATCTAAACTATGTGGTTATCCTTGACCTACTTACCACTGGAATGCTATCTCTCTGTGTGTCATTAAAATAGATTCACAAAGACACAAGAAACCTAGGATTTTATATTAATAACAGTTTGGGCAAAAGCAGGTTTTCAAGCCTTATTTTGTGAGGTCTGTGTTTTGTCGAATCCCTAGTTAACTCTTGGAGCTCTACTTTTGTATGCAGCAGGTGCCCATTAAATATTAAACTACTGAAGATAGTAGATAACGTTATTTTAATATCACTGGGAATCTTTGGGGGAGTAGGAAGATGGTTGTAAGAATGTCTGAAGGGAAGAGTCAATGAAGTACTTCACTAAATAAAGGAAAAAGTTTGATGAGTCCAGAAATAAAATCCATACCTTCGGAGGGGTAACTTGGGTAGCTTAACAAGTGGCATTTTGCTTATTCTACTTGTGTTGTGAAGTGCGAAAGAGTTTACGTGAGATTTAGAAAACATGAGTCTTAAAGTTGAAGACAAAAGTGTAGCCAAACTACAGAAGTGGAAGCGACACCCATTTCATTTTTTTATTGAACTATACTTGATATACAATATTAGACTGATTTCGAGTGTACAACACAGGGGTTTAACCCATTTCATTTTAATTTCAGCTCTCTAAAAAGAAGGTGCTAACGGAGGGCTGCCACTAAGGAGAACGAAGTGAGGCCAAGAAAGGTTAGCCCTGATGGTTATTTGGAATGGCAGGAGGAAGGGTATTTCAGCTGGAATGTTCTGGAAGGCTTTGATTAGGGCCAGTCATATGAAAAAGCGGCATTCCTAGGGCCTTCAGGATGGCCTCTTCAGTAAGGGTATTTTCTCCACTCCAGTCCTCACCCAGCAGAGCACGGCATAGTCACTGATTAGGGTGCTAAGATGTTGGTGTAAGCTGCCAGAAGCTTCATGTTTGAGGGGCCAAAGAAACTCTCAGATTGTTAATAGTGGGAATAGCCACAAAACAGACACCTTTTTAAGGTAAACCTGAAGAAATTCCTGAAGCATGGCTTATTTGCAAGGACCCTAAAAAAAGACTAGAGCTGTAGGTGATTAAAGCTGTTGGAACTCTGAAAGCCTGAGCTGGGGAAGTTTCTCTCAGGACAAAAAAAAATATAATATGAATACATATATATTTTCCTGAAGCGGAAAGAAGGAAGTAAAATTTCAAAGTCTGGAGAGAAGTCTCTGAAGCATCAGTGGAAGTACAAATTCTTATGTCCCCGTTTTATTGCTTTTAAATCTTGTTTTAAATAGCATCTTTAATTTAAAGTTAGTATGTAAATGTAAGACATGAATATATAACTTAGAGTCACCTACATATCATTTAAAAGATTTTATTTTAAAAACGTAAACTGATGAATAAGAGATTTTTATTTCTGAGATTCAACTGCTTATGTCCTAGAAGATGATAATGAGCGTATCTGTGCTCTAAGACATGGCATTTGCTGAAATGCTACCTCTGGGCATTCAATCTTAAAACAGCAGGTAGGATTTATTTCTGTCTTACTATGTGTTGGCTCTGGTCTAAGCGCTTTACACAGATTTTCTTAATCTTCAGAGAATCTCTGAGGTAGGTATTCCCCATCTTCCCACTTCACAGGCAGGACAGGATGCAAAGGGAGGTAAGTAACTGGCTCATAACTGCACTGCAAATAGGTGGTAAAGCCAGACATCAAACCCAAAACTTCAGATCCAGGGTCTCTGCTCTTAACATTCTCCATTTTGCCTTCTAAAGCAGCAACCCAGTCATTCTATATGACTTGATTCTGTTTTGATTTTCTGCATAGAAATTATAATTTTCCTTTTCTTTTATTTATGCTTCTGTGTCCTACTATCATGGGAATCCAGTGATGTCCAGCGAGGGATTATATCTGTCTTGCTCACACCACTCGCTTGTTAGGAAGGCTGCCCGACATATAACAGATACATGATACAAATCTGTGAAATGAAAAGTGAATTAACTATTGCTATATGTTTATCACATACTGAATTTCAGGAATGAAACAGTGATTAAAAAATATTGAAGGTCCAGGTTTCCATACTGTGTTAGTTAAAGCAGAGGCACTTATGGCTACCAGTTAGTTGAAGACAAGGGGGAGATGGGGCAGGCGGATGGTTTGGAGATGATCCTTCCTTCTACCAGGGAAGTACTACTTTCTGGGCATCAGAATCAAATAGATCTAAGTTTAAATCTAGGCTTCTTGCTAGCTTGGGTTTCCTTACC